TGGATGGAGTGTCGCTATTATAGGGTTTATAAATGGTTATTGATGGCAAAAAGCAATAGACAAACAATATCAATTTTAGATCACATTTTTCGCTTTGTTCCGTTAAACATGCCATATAGTTGCCGTCGCTTCTTTGGCTCATTCGCTCTGTTCCCTTCATCCCCCATCTACCCACCACTTTGTTGGTAATCAGAAAGCCCAACAAACATTCAAACAATCCCAGAGGTAGCTTATTTAATTTGACTCAAAATCAACTCTTCCATTAGGCGGAGGCTTCGTTTCAAATTGCGCCGGCAACACCTGCCGCGCTCTCTTTGCTGTTCCGATGGGCAACGCCCCTTCGACGGAGTCAGCCAATCGGAGGGCTCCATTTCGAGAGAGTTGCCTCTTCTCGGTGTTGGTGTGGAGTGGGAAGTTGTTCATTGACGTGGTTTCTTGTTGCTGTTGTTGCTGCCGCTGTCTGTGTTGTTGCCTCGGTGGTGTTTGGTGTTTGGTGTTGTTGTCCCCGACAGGCAATTTACATGAAATCAAAATGAAACGCATAAAGGGGACCAGAGAAGTGAGAAGTTCCCACTTGGCCGACTGTCGAATGTGCTTAAATCACTTAATAATAGTGCACAAAATGGTGCAGTCAAAAGTGCATAAAACAAAAATATTTTCTGAACTGGATTGTGATTTTTTATTTTTATTAAAAAACAAACATTACGACTGACGACTATGATATACGACTATGCATAAAGATAAGTAACTACCTGATCCCAAATGAAGAGCCCTTTTCTGGTGACCATGGTTGTGATAAGCTGATAATAATGAGATCCCCTTCGTTTTCGATATACCACACCACGCGATTTCCCTGCCAATAGCGCATTTCCATCTTCGAGCGTTCCACTCAACTTTTGTTTACTTAAACTTTTACCATTTTGGGGTAGTGTTAAAGTGGCCGCCAGTTGCAGATGCCTTCTGTCCCCTGAGTTCCCTGAGCTCCTGAGCTCCCCGATATCCCCAATATTCTCCCTATTCTGTAGTGGGCGGCAGGCAGCCCTCTTGGTTGAGGCCGGGATCTGGCCGCTCGTTTGATATATTTTACGGTGCCATTGGCAGAGCTGATTGTTTTTTAAATTGTTTCTGCACGCGATTCGTGTTTGTCGGGTTTATGGCTGTAATAGCCACGGACAACATTGTTGTTATTGTTCTGCTCTGTGCCCCGGCCATTGTTGGTGTTGGTGCAGCATAATTTAATTTGAACGCATATGGGACCCAAAGTGGGTAATTGAATAAGTTTCGCTGCCGCCCATCGCAATTGGGTCCTTGGAACTCGGGTTTATTTTTTCTAAATTTGATTAGCGCCACGACTCGAAAAACTATTTTGCACGTTCGCGAAAATTCGCGTGCGGAGGGGCTTAAGGGTTCTTCGGGGTGTACATATGTATATACTCGTATGGTAATTTATTTTCTGGCCAGCTTAGCAGACTGCTTGCCACTCAAATTGATATGTAAACGTGGGGGGATTTTTAATGTAGCCGAACAGTTTGCGGAGTGGAGGTAAATTTGCACACTCGACTCGTGTAAGCTTCGATTTGTATTTGTTTGCCGCGAATTTTCGGAGAGCAGAACAAATCAGCGGGAGCCACGCCCTCGGATAAATTTGATTGCAAGTGCTGTGGCTTGTAATCAAAATCGATTTCTCATTTTTGCACACTTCCCCTCGTCAAAATTGCCATCAATTTAGGGGCCTCCTCACGTCCGAATCGGAGGAAATTGTTTCTAATGTGATTAAGGTCCATTCATTTGCTGCATTATCTGGCAAAAAGGTTCGCTTAAGGTCAGACACTTGATTAGAGTAACCTTTTCGCTTATGTTCGGCTTTTGGTGGCTGTCATTGAACTTGAACTGGGGCGGAAACGAATTCCAAGCGTATACTTAGCCAAAAATTGCGAATGAAATTTTGCTAACTGCCTGAGAGCTGAAATCACGGGCCTTGCCTCATTAATCATGCTGAAAATAGAAAGTATTGCTTAGGCGGCGATTTAATTAATTTGATTAGCATTAACCGTTTGAATGCGAATTATGAATTAATTTACCCCCTATCGAACTCCCTCCCGCCTTTTGATTTTTTAGGCAAAACGAGTTCGTTGCCTAAGTCTTTCGTTCCGACTCTCTTCCTTGGCTGTCTCGCAGCATTCAAGACTTAATCATTTTGACATGTCTTGCCTTCATTTGCATAATTTTGAATAACGTTTAATACCGAGACACGCCCCCAAAGATACCGCTTTGAGTAGGGCGTGGGTCAATCTCGGCGATAGACAATTATTTATCGAACTGATCATGAATATGCAGAATGCCGCTATTAATTGGACAGCTCACAAGATTGTTAGCTTCTTGAATACGGCAATGAATGTGGACCACGCTTGGCTGCGTCTGAAACGCTTAATTACTTCCAAACACTCGTCTACAAAGAATGAACACCAACTCATTTCGGCGAATCTGAATGTGTTTTTAGTCTTTTCAACTTGTCCTGTTTAATACAACATGTTATAAAAAAAGCTTTTCTGTTTTACGTTTCATTACTTAAGCTTTCCATGCTGCGTTTGAAACCCTTCTGTTGGTATTCATATTTGCCTAGTTTTGGGGTAATGCGAACCTTGCGGAACACAATTTCTTTGATTGATTTTAATGGTTAGGGAATCTTGGTTGGGCGGTCTCATTTGGAATCACTCTACTCCCATGTAAATGCCATGGAATTCAATTAATAACCCACTAAGTCCATGTGAATCCCCCGAGAGGCGGAAGGGGAGTGGCTACCTACAGCAAAGCCCATGCCCAGTCATGCTCGGCTTGTTTGGCTTGGAGCTCTTCAGCTTTGCCGACGGTTCCAGCGGATCCCATCCAGCGAACCTCTCTCCACGTCAGCCAGACGGACAAATGTTTGCACAACACACGATAATGATGACAAGCCAAATTAGCTACTAATTTTCACACACACACGCAGGCAACAGAACCTCGAAAAGGGTCAGTCGGAGCGCCAGGACCTCACACAGCTGACGTTCGTTAATTTCTGGCACCGGAAGTTGGAGCGAGGGAGATCCAAAGTTGGCTGCAAATTGCCATAAATCAGCATTTGATTATCCTTTGGTCCGCCTAATTTTACCTCTCAGCTAATTTTCTGCTTCCTCCCGCTCTTTCAACATCGATGTCATGTGCGTGCTGGTTTGTTTTTAATTTATTAATTACTAGGCGGTCCTTCTGCACTGCCTGGTCGGAACTGGAATCCCGCTATTAGCGAAATCCTCTGATCTTCTTTGTGGGTGATCCACCCATTAGAGATGAGCCGTAGCTCACGGTTGCCTTACGCTAAGAAGCCTGTTAAAGGACGAAAATATATTGGAGGGTACCTCAAGGTTCCTTAAAGCTATTAATAATTTTGAAGACGAGATTGATAAATTTTTAAGTATTATTTATTTTCGCGATGACAATTTGAATATTAAGTCCAAATGTCTCTCCTTCTTCAGCTTTCCTGCTAAACGGCGGCTGTCAAGCATTCCAGCCAACTGCCACTTGGCTACCCAAAAAGCCAGAGATCTTCTGGAGGAGACCAGATCCAGATCACCTCGGGTGGTCGGAGGACGTCACTCAAATTGAAGTCCGGCAAATGAGATTTGCCGGCACTGGAGTGTGGAGCATGCAGAGAGGGCGAATGGAGTCCATATCCGCAGCCCAATCTTCATCATCTTCGTCTGCTAGTTGGAGTTGTTGGATTTTTAATTAAGCGTGGCCTGCACCCGAGGCTTTTCGTCGAGTAGCTCTTCTGGACACAGGAAAGTACGGCGCGCTCAGTGGAACAGGTCTTGTTAGTAATTTTTAATTTGAGCTCTTCTGACAGCCAGCTGTCATATAAATTTAATTGAATTTACATTTTTATTAATTGCCAAGTCTGCTAGTGAGCCAAGTCTCGATCTCGTAGTGCTACCCGTTGGCATGAATGGGAGATGAGTTGCTAAAGCCGACTGGCTACTCATCAGACATCAGCCCATCCCCATCCACATCAACATCCCCATCCCCGTCCACTTCCACTCTGTGAATGAATTTAATTTGAGATGATTTGTTGATGGTTTCGTTGTGGTGATTTCTTGCTGACTAATTTAATGTGATTTTTAAATTGCCAGCCGACCGAGGCTGAGTGTGTGGCCTGCGCAGGGGAATCAGAATCTCATCGGGAGATTGATTGGGCTCATGGAGTGGGGGCAGCATTTTTACGGAATTAATGAGATGACACGCCTCTCGCTGGGATGCGAAACCCCCTCGCGATCATTATGAACTAATCTAATTTGCAAGCCCGGCGATGACAATCGAAGACGGAAGAGCAGCCTCCTCGATCCTTGGACACATCCACCTGGGCAACTGCGCTAACGAGGAGGCTCCTCTTCCAAGACCCCCTCCAGTTTAATTCGCAAATCAAACAACCGCAGGGCAGAAATCGGAAATTCGCGCATAAGTAAATTAAAAATAAATTTATGTCCCGACCAGTGAGGGGTCAGGAAACGAATGTCCAGAGGGATGGAGCATGTGTTAACCGGTTTCGGGACGATCGCGAATGCAAATCCAATTAAAATTTCCCAACCGATCGATGGGCGAGGGGTGGAGGGCGGATCGCATCCTGCGAATGGCGCTAAGCCGTAAAACGAAGCTGTGCGCTGATTTAAAACACTGCGGGGCGTGCTTATTGATTAAATACAAATTGCATTCATTCATCATCAGCTCTAGGGGCTGCTTGATATTGGTGTTTTTAGTGTAGATGCTCTGGCTGGCAATTAAATTACGATTTGAGGTAGATGCTCCGCTCGTTTGGCAAATGAAATCCAATTACACAGCCCTCAAAAATAGAGAGAGTGAGGAAAACTGAAATCTGGTTTGAATCCCATCACATTTCGCGCCAAGGGCTGCCAACCTGGTTGAATGGTTCTGTGGCGTTAGTGCGATTTCGTAGATAATCATTTAATCGATTCATGTCGATTAACCATCGATAATTTTGTATATTGTTTTGTATTGTTGTTTACAAATTGATCGTTTTTATGTTACGCAGTTTGTCCATGCTGAACGATATACACGGAACTAAACTACAGATGATTCAGTAACATCGAATACTTCTCTAATGCTTTGAATAAAACTGCAACAATCCGTCAGAGGCGTAGTAAATTGATGAATACCAAGGTCTGCGTAGAGAACAATAGTGGAATTCAGTGGCAATGCCAGGTACCAGTGACACACGACGTCTGGTGGACGCCCAAGACGAGGATGACGAGATTCTGGGCACGGAGGGCAGCTTTGTGCCCGCTTTCCGTCCGCAGGACCACCAAGCGGATGAGCAGTGCCTCATGGAGCGGCAGCAGGACGAAGTAGTTTTGGTGTCCAACGAACCCGCCAGCGGACGACTCTTCACCTATCTCGTGTTCTACCTGCTGGGCATTGGCACCATGACCCCGTGGAATTTCTTTGTTACTGCGGAAGATGTAAGTTTAACAAGTGGAAATTTCCGCACCCGCATCCTAGTCAATTTAACTGAACTTCGGACATGTCAATCCCAAACAGCAGAACAACTGGGCCAAGCGCAATTCTAAGGCGCGCTGCTTATCAGCTTTGTCGTCGTTTTTTTACGACCCACACTGAGACGATAACTCTCTTTTTGATTTTCTTTGTTTTCCGCTGACTCAAACTTTAACCGTGTCTGTTTCTCTTTCAGTACTGGAAGTACAAGTTCCGAAATGCATCGATCAATAACACAGATCTGGACGACGGGCTCACCCCCCTGCAGAAGAGTTTCACCTGCGACTTGACCCTGACGGCCACTATTTCCGGAACTACCTTCCTGCTGCTAAACGCAATTTACGGACACCATGTGTCCCTGCGCACCAAGATGCTAGGAACGCTGTGGATGATCCTCATCCTTTTTGGGGTTACAACTAGCTTCGTAGAGATCAACACGGACACGTGGCAGGAACAGTTCTTCCTTATCACGCTCATCATTGTGGTGCTGCTAAATAGTGGGTACCTAACCCAATTCACTGAGTGATAACTTAATATTTATTTTATACAGTATCTGCGGCTACAATGTCGGGAGCCCTTTACGGAGTCGCAGGGCTATTTCCCTCCGAGTTCATGACCGCTGTGGTTAGCGGACAGGCTCTTGGTGGTATCCTCACTGCCCTGGCCTTCATTCTTGTGCTTGCATTCGACACGGGTCCCAATACCACTGCATTCATCTTCTTCATTGTGGGAGGAGTGCTCATCCTGCTCTGCATTGTGTGTTACATAATCCTGGCTCGACAGCCTTTCTTTAGGTATTACCTCGAAGGTGGCGACAAGTACAACGTCATCCGGGCAGTGCCCTCGCACAACCGCAATGAAAGAACGGAGCCTATGCCGCTCGAGCCTATTTTGCGACAGGTCATGTCGAAGATCTATATGCATGCCATTACCCTAGCGCTTCTTTATACCACGTCGATGTCTGTTTATCCGGCAGTTACCGTGCTAATGCAGTCTGAGTATGGCCACAGCGAGTGGACAGGTAAACATAAAACTTTTTTTTCTTGGTCGTGAGTTATATACGGATTTATTGCAGATGTTTATTACCTACCTGTCGTGAACTATCTGATATTTAACTGCGGCGACTATTTTGGCCGTCTGTTTGCTGGCTGGCTGGAGCGACCAATAAACCAGAACACTTCACTACTATTTACTGTAGTGCGCATGGCGTTTGTTCCGTTTTTCCTGTGCTCAAACTCCAGCGAACACAGCTTTCTGCCAGTTTTGGTAAAACACGACTATTCTTTCATAGCGATGATGGTGATGTTTGCCTTGTCCAACGGATATTTTACCAACATTCTACTCATAATGGCACCTAAAAGCGTAAAGCAGCATGAAAAGGAGCTGGCTTCTTCGATAATGGCAGCTGCTTTGAGCTGTGGCATGGCTGTAGGATCACTGCTCAGCCTTGTATTTGTTCAAATGCTTTGATTCAGCCAACCAAATAAGTCTGTCCCCTTGGTGCCTTAGTAATTTTCAGAATCTTATGCTTTATAGTGATATTTAACTTAATATTGGTTGTTCTTCCGAGTACGCGGCGGTGTTAATTGTTTTTGTGATTCTGTAATTCCAAATTTTACTTAGTTTAAATTTTTTACCAAGTTTACTATATCGGAATCCCTAGATGTAAGGTTTAACGTTTTCATTATATACTAGGAATAAGACGATTTAAAAAAATGTAGAACGATTAATTTTTCTTGTTTAGCGTTTATTTTGGGTTTTCTGCGGATCACAACAACAATGTGGATAGATTTTATTGGATTGATCTTGTCATTAATCATTGAATTAACTAATGAACTCCATTGTAGCACTGTCTGTGAAGAGTTTCAAATGTTTAAACTATATTTTGACCAAAAATCTAGTCGCGAAAATCGAATCACTGATTCTGAATGTGCGAATCATAATTTAATTTACGAAATCAGGTAAAACTTTTGACCGACAAAGAACATTTTTACGTGTTACTCAAAAAGTAGGCAGCATCTTGTGTTGATACGGGCAACCCGAGAATTTACACCTTTTAAACTTTTACAGGCGTTATTCTCATAGGTGGTGCATAAAAAGGTCCTGAACTGATGAAAGACCGTTAGCGGACCTAGTTTTTTGGCTAACTTATGGAACGTTATTGTTTTTCTCTGATCTCGAACAACAAATGTCAATCACATTGAAATGGAAACATTACCGAGAAAGCAGACTAAATACGGGAACAATTCATTTGAACATTAAGTGTACCATAATAATTTGGGTTCATTTTACTATCTTTAAGAAAACTTTATCTTATGTTCTTGCTAACATCAAGAGTTTAGATTCGGTAAACATTTTATATGTGCCTTGGCAATATTATTGCAACATGGGGTTCGGTTCCTCAATATTTATGTAGATTTATGTATAACGCTAGGGTGTCTAAACATTTATTTAACTAGATTATGTTATAGGCAACAACAAATTCGTTAGTTGCTCTGCTCGAAATATATTCAGCTCCTCCGCAAGGGCCTACATTTTTTCTGTATTTACTTGTTTATTCATATTTCCTTCGAAATCTTATGCTGTCCTTCGGTTTGCTGGTGTTTGACACCGATTTTGCTTTTCAATTTAAATTTCATTTTCGTATAAGTTTATGACATTATCGTTAACTTAGTTTAACAAACACACGCAAACAACGAACATCGATTAAAGCCTGTTTTTGCAGTGGGTTTTTCGGGTTTCGAGGTGGGTGGGGTGGGGTGGCATGCAAATGATAGTCTGCGGGTAATAAAGCAACTACTACATCAAAGGTAGGGATAGCAAAAAACATCGACAGCACACAGATACGGATGCAGATACAGTCGATCGAGTAATGCTTACATACGTACAACACCAAAACTATTTAAATGTTTGCTGAGTTGCTACAATGTTAATGCTGCTGTATTGGATAAGTTCAGCCAATTGCACAATTACACAGAGATAGACACCGAGTGAGATAGACAATAGACATCCGGAGAAACACACACGTACATACTGTCAGCAGCTAGATACCATACTCTGGATATTGCTTGTTTGCTGTTTGCTAAGTGAATATATCGTATCTTGTGGAACATTCGTTATACGAAATCTACGAAACACGCACATCAAAAATTACAACATCAATCGGGAGTAAGGGGACCAACTGTGAGCGATACAGATCGAGCTGTGGCCCGTCATTTCGGTTTGAGGAAGATCATGAGTCGGCTCTTGAGTAAGAATTATGGGAATTACAACATTTAAGGTGGTTCTGCCGTCCAGTGAAATGTATTTTCAACATTGTTTTGATTACTCTCATAGTGTTCGTTTAGATTACGTACTCATATGTATGTTGTGGGCTATGTTTGAATTTTGGATTTTGTTACAAGGCAGCTTAGGTTTATTTGAATATCTTCATATTTTTTGTTTGATTACCTAAGCAGTGGTGTCTGGTCTACAACATAGGTTAAATACACTCAATAAGTTTGCATATTTTATTGTTTGATTGTCTTGAGAATGTGGCACAAGTCGACAGTTTCGGGGTCACCCAAATCGGTTTTAGTCCCCGCAAACTGCAAAACCGCCGTTCGTTTTTTGTTATTTTTGGTGTTGTAGGTTGTGTGCGACGCCGTCTGTGCGTGTGTGTGTGTGCATTGGACCAAGATTGAATTGGGGTTGGGGATAAAGTAAAAAAGGAGATGTAAGTGGGAAAAACAATCCGTATAGAATTTTATTGGAGCTTCGTAACGACTAGGTAAACGTAAGTATAGTGACTAAATCAAGAATAAATAGCAACCAACCGAAAAATAAATGACTAATTGTTGGCCTAGACTTGTGCTCCGGCATCTGCTTTAGCATCCGCCTTGTGTGCGCACGAGATTCAATCCTCAGTTTGTGTGAGAGCCTTAAACTAATTGTATAAATTATATCGATTAAAACTGATGTAAAATACACACAACCACAATTAGCATTAGATAAATGGAGCACTCGGTCTCCTTCGTATAGACAAATAAATTATACTTATTTTCTGCTTCTGTTACATTTGCTTGCTTAACTAGACACTCAGAGTTTCAGCGAAGTTCGAATAGGAAGAAACCGTACGGTTTGACGGGGGTGTGATGGATCAACCTCCATTAACACCATAGAAATACACCGTCACAGTATACAGATAAAGTACTGTAAAGTACGGATACGTCAACAGTTACACTACAAGTACATCATACATGCAATAGATTTACATCTAGTTTGTTCAGTTAGAAAACGCGTTTTGCTTGGATTCCCCTTAGCTGTGGGATCCACAATGCCCAGGTTCAAAGGTCCTAAGGTCTAATCGAGGTCAGTTCCCGTCAAATAGGTGTGGGAGGATGGGGACTACTCCTCCACTGCTTATATTCTACGAAGACTTTTCATTTCTATGTTTCTGCTGTAAATACTGAAGACTAACAACTGTAGAACCACAATTAATCCTAGGGACAATTTGGGCGGGGTGAAAAACCTTTACGGGCGTGGCCCATTTACGTCTTCATCTCGGCCGCTGGGGCAATGCTGTTGTGCGACCTTGCTGGCGAAATGGCCGAATTACTGCCGGTAGCCCCCGCGTCCAGATTTAGAGTGAGATTATTGCCTGAAAGAGCTGACGAACCGGAGCCCGAACAGCCGTGGTGATGAGGTCCATGGAAGAGCGCCAAGAAGCCATTGCTGGAAACACAGCTTCGCGATTCTGCCTCCTTGTCGAGAATTTGACGAGCCTGGAAATATGTGGAAAACGATGCGATTAATATGCTTATCAAATCGATCACATGGACCTACCTTGGAGCGGTGTTCTGACAGGGCATTGCGCACTGAGTCGTGCTGCTTCTGGAGTTCATCCGTTCTTCGGTCAAAGGTCTGCTTCAGCCGCACACGTTCAGCTACGCCACGTTCCACAACGGAGCTTGCCACCTCGCGTTTCATTCTGCCAGAGAAAGCCGAAATGATTAGCAAAAGTTGAAGAGGGAAGGAAATACGCAAGCCACCTGATCAGTTCATCTCTATCCCGGTGCACGGTGGCCAGATTCTTGACCTCGTTGCGGCGCGCCTCCTGCAGCTGGTGCATCACCTCTCCAGTGACCTTGTCCAGCGATGCCTTCAACTGCTTTGTTTGACCAGTTTGCGATGTCTTTAGCACCTTCTCGGCTGCAGTGTAAATAGCCTCGTGGTACTTCTCCTGCAGCTCACGGTACTGGGACGTGTACTCCCGGCAGGCACTGCGTAGTCGCGACTCTTGAGTTCTGCCATCCAGGCCGCTGCTCCCACCGGCTAAGTCCTCACCCGCATCCGCGGCTGCGCTCTCCTCGCTGCTATCGCCCAGATCCAGAGGGCAGGCGGGGATCTCTATGCCAGGCTCGCTGTGCGGAGATAGACAATTACTAATTTCAATGGCGTCATCTGGCAGTGCCACGCCCACAGATTAACGCCCCGCCCAAACACTTACAGACTCTTGTTGCTTAGCCGTTTCACCAGCTTATTCGTGATGGCAAACTTCGGCTTCTTGCCCTCTAGCGGACTGGATTTCTGGCCGGCAATCTTGACCTTTTCCTTGTCATGCTTCTTTCGCAGCGACTCCAGCTTCTTTTCCATCTCGAGACGCTTTTCCTTGACGGACTTGTGATCCAAGATCTTTTCCAGCGGCTCCGCCAACACAAGATCCACATCAAACTGCGAGGACTCCACCTGGCGGATGGAGGTGCTCACGGACTGGTCTAGGGAGTGCTGATGCTGTATTGAGGGTGCCACGATAGAGACGTTATCCTCTCCCCTTCCGCCATCGGTTCGATCCACGGTTATGTCAACACTCATTGCTGCAGCAGCCGAGATACTCGGCCTATGCTTGGGCGAAGTCGCCAGCGATTCAACCGGACGCAGCTCCTTTTTCTGGCCACCTACTTGGACGAAAACGACTGGAGGATCAGACAGAATCGAGCAGATCGCGTGGGCAGGGGAAAAGGTTTAGAGGTTGTGCAGTTTGTGTGTCCGTCAACCGTTTTGAGTGTGGGAGTAGGGGTGGTGGTGGGTAGTGGATTGTGGGTTGTGGGTTGTGGGTTGGGTAGTGTTTGTGGTGTTGGTTTAACCAAATCCGAAAATCCAAAAGTACAACCGAAAGTTATATGAAACGTTACCAAAAAGAAAAGTAGAAAGAAAAGTAGGTAAATTAAAATCGCAATTCGAAGTGGGTAAGTGGAGCTACGCTTAACAGCTACTGCATTTACTCACACGACTTGGAGAGATCCTCGTCCGCATTGCCCAGCGCTTCGGCTTCGTCGGTCAAAACAGACAGTTGAATATCGCGCTTCTCCAGCTCGCTTTGGTATTTAATCGGGTTAGCTAGCGCCTCTGCGAAATTGGAAAGATCATCGGGCACATAATCCTTGACCACCACGCACAGGAAAAGGGATGCCAGGGCTATTGGCTGGCCCACTTCAGATCGGAGATTCACATGTCGGTAGCCAGGGCAAAGACCGATTACGGGCAAAACGCGGTGACCAATGAGTTTGCCACCCTCCTCATATGCGGCTATTCGAATACTCGCTAACTCAGGGAGAACCACCTTCTTAAACACAAACGGCTCCTCGTCATAAAGCGGATTCATTCCATTATCCCGGACTGTCTTGGTGCGGAACTTCTTTCTCACCGTGTCCGCTGGCAAACCGTACATATCCACTTCCACAAAAGTGTT